TTATTTTGAGATTGTAGAGGGACATAAAATGGAATGACTACTTTTACAAGCCAAGTCTCCTTATAGTGCAAGACAGAACTTGATCCATAATAACCTGATCTTAATCAGGATACAGTGAGCAACATCATAACTCAAAGACAAGCAAACCCTTGTTCACAAGAAATAAGCATTTCTCTGTTCTACAGGACTTTACAAATTTTCTGTCAAAGAGCAGCATCATGAAGTTCTAGTTTCAGCTGTGGAAGGTTTATAAAATCAAGGTCGAAATTAAATAGACTTTGTTATAAGATCGGTCAAACGTAAGGATGTTTCCAAAGCTTAAATTCAAAGCGTATTTTGGAGAAAACGTCACTTTGATTCACAGTCTTTTTCTATAAGAGTGTTATAGATATTCATATATTGTCTTGTAAGTGAACTGAATAGGATGTTGTAACCTGTGTCCTGTTTTCTTTGCTTTCTGTATTCTGTTATCAGAATTTGCTACAGGAAGTATAAAACCATAATTATCTTGTGACTTGAATTGATTACAAACGCACCTTTGAATCACAAAAAAAAAAAAGCCCACTGTCCAAGAGGCTGAGGCATGTGGAAGCATGTGATTAATGTGTAGATCATTGGCAGTGTGTGGCACTGTGCCGCTTGACCCACTTTTTCCAGTGTCATTGGCCCAAACACAGGCGTGTTGATACAGGAACAGCAGATGCCAGGGTCACTAAGTGCAGCTCTTCACTCAGTTTTTAGTAATCCCTGTAGTCGTGACGAATGATATGGATATTTTAAATTAAACTGGATTTCCTTTTGGCAATGTAAAACTTTACATTTGATTGTGTGCACTCAGAATTGGATCATGCTGCAGTGAAGCTATAGATTTTAACCTAATTAAAGAAGGTCATAAGTAAAAGTTGGTTAAACACCTAAAATTACTGATGTTTTACACATTAACAATTTGGCTTAAAGTAATAGCACTCTAAAGAATAAATATAACAGCTCATGGGTGAAGTTGTCCCTGCTTCCCAGGCATCACATGAGTGCAAGAAAGCTCTCTCATGACTTTTAGCACACAGTTAATTTGTTCGTAGGGTCTATGTCGGTCTCTGAAGGCATTTAGCAAAAGCAATACTAACGTAGGCCTCTCTTCTTTTTTTTCTCTGTCTTCTTCCATCTTTCTCTTTGCCACAGAGGTGTGGAGGTGTCGCATTTAAATGGTTGGAGCAGAATGTCATACAGGTTCGCATGCTGGGTAAGAACTTTTGATGCCCTGGAACAGGTCTGTGCAAAAGGGAAATACACACTGTGTGCCACACACTGTAGTTTGGTGTGGATTCACTTACCTTTTTTACCCAGCATAATATCTAGGTGAAACATATAAACATACACTTGCAATCTCTGTATATACTCATAATATTCCCAGGCAGTGTGCACGTGTTTTGCATGTACTTAGTCTTTGAGTACATTTTGCAATGTGCCAGGACTTAGGTCAGTAGACTAATACGGTAGCTGTAACTCCAAACCACAGACTTGGATCTTGTGAATTTAGTGTGCAAAATTTTAAATAGATCTTTAAATTAATGGGTGAGAGAGGGCAGACATTTCCAGATTTTTTTGCATTACAAACACAAACTGTATGATTTGTGTTTGTGATGCATCATCGTGAAGGCAAACGAAACCATGTAAAAGTTTTGATATTCTTTATTTTAAAACCTTAAAACAAAATGAGATTGTTTTTCTTTTATTTGGAAATCTAAAGAAAGTTGCTATTCCAGATATTTTTTTAAAAAATGAGCTACTTTGTTTTGAACATTTATATAGCTATTGTCACACCAAACATTTTGGACCAAAGGCAAACATGGTTCGAAGAGTTGTAAAAGTTGCTGACCCTTGCCTTAGGAGGTCTTGTTTGCCTCTCGCCACAACCTATATGAGAGACACGTAATTGCAGAAAAATAAAGTTTGTCTCTGGATGGCTGAATATAAATGCCCACAACACTTTGGTCATTTACTTTGCTCATTTTGTGGTTGTAATGTGTCAAAATGTGGAAATGTTCACAAATATGAGTATTTCAAAAGACCCTCTGGGGAAGGTCTGATTTATCTAAAAAGAGAGAGAGAGAGAAAAAAGATGTCAGCATGTTTTTCATATGGCTGCAAAGCTCTACTTGTTCACCAAAAATGGTTTCCTGTGACATAAACAACGAAGAGTCACATCAAACTAAACGGCGAGAACAACAACTGTGTTACCTCAAACGACGTGTTTAAACTTAAAAGTTGCTTTTAAGCACAATTCAAAGATGACCTCCAACAAGTGTACATCATCTTCACCTTCACAGCAGGATGCAGAATGAAATGGTGCTAGAAAACTGTGTGGATAAAATCATGAATAAAACTTGGTTTCTGCTAAGAAAGAGATCCTTTGAAATTTAACATATATGCATCGTATGAGGGTATTTTGGTTTCTCTTAGGGATTTTAAGCAATTTACAACTAATTATTTTAACGTTCATTTAATCTATTAAATACCCAAATTGAGCTACATGACTCACTGATATATCTTCTGCCAATAGAGATCGTACGCATGATGAATATATATCTTCCTGTGGCGTTACACTGACAGAAGGGAGCATTTATGAGGCAGAAAAACTCCTGTATTAGTGGCTTACAAAAATAAACATTAAGTGAATCCAGCAAAAGCTCATGACAAAACAGCTCCAGTAAAAGCTCATTCAGTTTCTCCCAGCTATAGTTTGGCTGTGTTTCTGCTCCGCAACACCAGAATCAGATAGTTGAATTATCTCTTTGGCATGTCACCAAGTTCAGCAAGAGCCTGCTGTAGCATCTTTATTTAAATTATGAGGGTTTAGCCGAGCAACATCTAAAACATGCAGGACACTGCTCCCTGGAGGCCCAGAACTGTCCGAACCGTTCTGGAGGACAGAAAGTGACGAGGACAGTTTTCCATTTGGAAAAACGTAGAGTTCGGTTCCCAAAGGCTTAATTCATTCAGCAAACTCCTAAATATGTAATCTGCATAAACAGACATGAGTTTTTTTTAAGTTTTTAACCAATATCTAAAGTGTGGGTTAAGAATGTTATTGATGTAAAGCCTGAAAAGTACTGGAAGATAAAACCTGTATATCACCTAAGTTTTAAAATGTGCACATTCTTGCAAGAGCACATTAACATAGTTTTTTAAAGGCTGAATTAGTTGCCCTGACCTGTCAAGAAGTGTGACCAATTCAGGTTTAAACGTGGACCAAAAACAAATGAATCAACACACCGTCCCATCTGTGTAAGCTTCTCTGTCTTTAGCAACTATTACGGTCATGTTTAGTCTTTGAAGGAAGGATTTGCAAAAATAGCTTTGGAGCCAGCAGTCCTCTCCTCGCCTGAGTTTATTAAACAAAACTTCCACCGACCTCGTTATCTGCTTTCTTTCTTTCTTTCTTTGCAGTTAGCATTTTTCAACTACATTGAATTTATGCTGTTTATGATCTTCTTTACTTTGTGAAATCTCTTGTATATTTTTATGTGTCTGTCTTTAATCATCTTGAACATTATTATTTAAGTACTGAGTTGAAATAAGTGCGAGGACAAAAACATCAAGTCACAGGTATGATATGAAAAATCTTGTTTGACTAGATTACTTGATTAGTTGTCTGACTATTCCCATAAACTGCACAGAAAGCAACAAATTCATCGTAAGAGTTGTGACCAATCAATTACAAACAACTATATGTGTTTTAGATGATCTCCCTGCTCCCTTTTCCATTTTTCCCAGGCTGTTTCTTTGTCTTACAGCTTTTACTAGAATGATTTCTTGTTGCTGACTTCTTGCATCTGATATGTGATGTTCAAGGCCATGTGAATGGCTGAGTGCGTACGTCAGTGAGTGTGCCAGCACATTTGTCTGCACTTGACCGTCATTTGCACTGTGGTCCATACTGTGGAGCAGGTCTGCTGATTTAAATAAAAAAACAAAAACAAATCTATTTTCGTGCAATTTCAACAATCTTGCTGAAGATTACGATTGGGGTTTTTTCATTCATGAATTTCACTCCATTTATTCCATTCAATCAGTGTTTAACTTACTAACTTTAGACATTGTTTACAGTTGAACATCATGTAATTGTCAGTTTTTTTCTGTTTATTTTGATTTTGATGTAAATTGTAATTTAATCAAGATGAAACATCCCCTCATCACATAAAGCATAAAACAACTGATTAGAGTTCCTTTTGAGCAGGTTCATGTGTTGTCAGTTTACATCTGTATTCTCGTTTTCCTTTCTTTGAACACATCTCTCCTCCTGGGGCAACATATATAAGCAATATCTGAGAACTGTACTTCAAATAAAATTGGCTAACTATAAAACACACAGAGGGAGAGTAATGTTTGAAGTAACCCTGCCTTAGGTTGAAGCCCTTATAACTCAAATGCTTCAGAATCTCCTCCATCACCTTTCAGAAGTCAACAGTGTGTGCTTACTTCTGCTCATCCCCTCAACTATTGTGCCTTTTTGGGTTGTCATCAACCCAAATACATTTGAAACAGCATCAGCTTTGTACTTCTGTGCAGTTTTAATTCCCTTATATTTAGTGAAACCCTGCAGTTGATATTCACTCTTCAATGCCTCAATGTGTTCTTGCTGTCAGTGCACAATTTTTAGTAAACTCAAATGGCAACTTTAAATTGAATTATATATTTAAGTCTATTGAAGTAACAAAAGGTCTTTTTATATTAAACAATGAACTGAATATATATATATATATATATATATATATATATATATATTTTATTTTTTATTTTAAAATAAAAAGGTCTTTTTATTTTAAACAATGAACTGAATATATATATATATATATATATATATATATATATATATATATATTCAGTTCAGTTCATTGTTTAAAATAAAAAGACCTTTTGTTAATCGAATAAGATTTTTAGATCTTATTCGATTTTAATTGTCTGATTGATGTTATATAAATTATTGCAAGAAAGGCAAATGTGTGGAGAAAGCATAAATTTGTGTGCATGGTACTAGTCGGGCTGGCAGCATGTTTGAGTAGCAGCGTATTGGTTGAGAGCATGTAAGTGAGCTCAGAGCTGAGAAAGGAGGGGCTTTTAGACTCAACAGCACAGACTGAGTGGGACCGTGGAGATGAGTAGTTATGCGGCAGAAGGAGGGAGCAGAATATCAGTTCTGGATTCTGAGAGAGAGAGAGAGAAGGATACCGGCAGATTATTCTCTTGTTTTTTGGACTTTTCTCTTCTTCTCTTCTGTTTGGATTGCTTTACTTCCTTTAAATCTGTCCCTATGCTGCTGATCCCATCTCTCCAGGCGGTCTTTGATGCGCTGATTCCAGAGTTTTCTCAGTCTTAGTTAGCCCCCCCATATTATCTGTCATTCTAATCTGATGGTGAGCCGTTCCTTCTTCAATGTCTCCTTGTGAGCGTCATCCTCTCGTCTCTGCACCGTTCATTTCTTTGTGGTATTACAATGCCAGTACTGGAGAGGCTCTGGGGTCCAGATCTCAGGATGCAGGACTCTGGTCTCGGTGTCGGGGTCTGTCCCGACGAGCCTCCTGGCTCACGAGTGTGGACTCCCCCTGTCACTTGTGCTGGCCTGTCGCTGGCCCTGGAACTTCCCGCTCTGATCCGGCAGCTCAGGGCGGCCTGGAGAGCTCGCAGGGGAGACCCTCGGAGGGTGGAGAGGAGTGAAGGCAACAGTTGGGTGGAAGAAGAGCAGGAGGAGGCTGACGAGGTCAAAGAGATCAAGCAGGTCACAGGGAACAGCAATACACACCTGGAAGGTAAAGAATCCATAACAATTCATAACAGAGTTAAGCTTGTGGAAGATACGTCTAAGCAGCAGTTCATGCTGCCTCAGACAGGACAATAATAGCTTAAGGTTTGTGACCCACTCAAATTCTTAACAGTGTTAAAGATCTCTCTCCCTCATAGCAATTTAATGACATTTTTTGCAGCTCATTTTTAAGATTCACAATTTAATCTCCAGGTTTTTGTTTGGTTTCACGCAGAACTTAAAAGTAGATCTCCCTCTTTTGTCCTGCTTGTGTTCATGTTTGCAGATTTGACAAGTCCATAGGTGCGTGTGTGACAGATTAACTCTGACAAGCGTGCCTCTGGCCGTATGTTTACGAATGACGTAGGTGGACGCTCGGAGGCGTTAAGACAGCTGAGTAGATGAGACAGAGAAACGAGGGATTTGGGGCGTTTGGAGTCGGGAGTTTCCAATAAATGAAGCTGTGGTACCATCTGCTGAGCTGCAGTTGTCCCCATGACACTGATGCAGATTCAGCCAAGAATATAGGTTTTAAAAAGGAAAATGGTCAACTTTGACACATTAGTCTTGACACTTACAAGCTCTGCTGGCGGTATTGCAAGTAATCTGTCAATCACAGGAAATTTTATGCTGAAATTATGATTAATTCTGTGGGAAATTCCCTGCAGTGACTCATAAGGTGGAGGACGGAGAATTCTCTACAGACTTTTCCCTTGAACTGTAATAACCTCATGTGATTATTTCTTTTAAAGGGGTGAAAGGCTTTTGATATTGTAGGCCTATTGTTTCTAGGTACTGCGAGATTTAATCAGATGTTATGGTCACTGAGACATTTAATGTGGTCAGGATAATAAACGACTAAGGAGACCCAAAGTTCAGGTTTTGGAGGGAAAAAAATCAACAGAAAAAAAAATTTTTGTGCCTCTTTTTTACATAAAAGAAAACATCTTCATGTCAAATGCAAATCTTTAATGTAAATTCGGAGTGATTTTTCTTTAAACAAGTTGTCAAAAAAAAAATTAACCCTGGCAATTTTATTATCCACCTTTTAGACTACATTTTATCAGGATCGCCTGGTCGTCACTAGCATTCTGTGAGTCTGCAGTTGTTTTCTTGTCAGCAACAGCAAGTTTCAGAAGGATATTCTACAATTTATTTTTACATCTGATTTTACACATAAAGCTGGGGTCTTCTATGAACTCACATTTTGGTCAGCTGATGATATTTCCATGTGAAGCAGTTTGGTGATCTGCCAGGCTAACACTGGCATGTTTACTGTCTGTTTTGATATGAAGCATTGACAAATTATTTTCTCAACATGTTTTGTTGCAGTTGGTTGCTTTTGGACAAAACGTAAAGCAAAAGTTGTTCTGCTACCTGCCTAGCGATTTCCTTCAAATCACCTGTAATTTAATGATAGTGTTTCAGCTGAGCTCACGATTCACATGTGGACTGGCGGCAGCAGCAGCCAAAACAGTAATTGTACAAGGCAAACACTAATTATTTGGGAAAATCCAGATTTGTAGGATGAATATAATAATATGCACAAGCAATATCATAGTATGATGGCCATGGACTGAAAAATAGACCAAAGTTTTTAAAAAAAGATCGCTTCAAATTTGACCATAACAAAAACAACCAATCAGAGCCAGGAAAAGGATCTTAGTGCTGTCAATCAATCAATGTTGCTCAATGTGCTAATGGTGGAGAAACAAGTTAATATTCCAGGAATATAATTTATTCGCCTTCGCTGACCTCAAAAAGATTTAGGAAAGTTTATATCTGATTTAATGTCAAAGTAAGAAAATGAGAAGTTCTGTGTCTTCTTATTGTGTATAAATCTCAGATTCGGCTATATTTTACACAATAGTTTTTAAAAATGTTTATAGTTTATTATCAACATATGGGCATCATATGCCTGTAAATAAAGCAGGCACAGCTGCAGGCAGAAGAAAACATCGTCTGCTTCCGTATATTCACAGCATGTAGATTTGAGTTTTAGCATAGCTCAGTATGGCATCATTTTAAAAACATAAAAACAGTGTCTGTGCCACTAACACCCACAGACACAGTGAAGCCCGCATATTTCGATCAGCTCCACGTGTCAGTATGCGTGCCAAATGTACACTCGTGTTTTTGCTTCTCAAACTTGGATTTAACCTCATTTGTAAGTGTGTGTACACATACCAAATGAGGGTTAATGTTTGGGCACGTTGGCGCTTCCTTAAGCACACTTTCTGATCGACTCGCATTTTCATCGTAAATGACCCAGTTCTGTGCCGCATGAAAACAATGACCTAGTTACTGCTAAGGGAAGAGAAAGGGACAGAGGAGAGAGGCGGCTGGCGAGACGGAAGGATTGGATCAGATGGAAGGAGGAGGATGTAAACACAGGAACCAGAACTAAAAGAAGAATTGGGGGGGGAAAATGGAGCGGAGAAAGGAGAAGAATCAAGTGCTACAGAGAGCTGGGGGAGGCTGATTGTGTGAATGAATGCGGTTGTCTGTAATCTGGAGGTGTGATCTGTTTCTGGCCTGTTTACCAGAAGATGTATTTTGTCCTCGTCTTCTCTGCCAACGCTCTGGATTAAATTAAAAAAAAAAAAAAAAAAAACTGTTCTTCTCCGTTTGCTTCTTTCGTTGCCCAAAGTAGGCCACTTGACAACGATGAGTCACTTTTCTGTGTATTTGTTCATGCTGCTGTGCATGCCAAAGTAGGAAGTTGTACCAGTTTTCTCCAAAGTTGACAAAAGTGATGCCTTGGCTTCTTCCATGCTGAATGCTTTCTGAGGCTGCACTTCGAAGGCGGGCTCCGGCACGTCCCGGCAGTTGCCACAGCGATAGCAAAGCCATTGCCAGCTGCTTTTAACGGCGGTCGCTGAGGTGATGTGAACTGGCAACCTTAGGGACAAACTATGCTCCAGTTCCTAACTGCTGATCTATAAATTATTCATTATCTCCATAGTTTTCAGACTGTTCGAGTGAAGATTGTGTGTGTGTGTGTGTGTGTGTGTGTGTGTGTGTGTGTGTGTACCATGACTTGAGACCTCATTCTGTTTTATCTTGTTTGTCGCTGGCCTCTGGGTGTGTGAATTGCTCATATTTTCTTCAGCATTCTCTGTTTTATGTTTTTGTTTTTTTTGTTCCTAAATCTAGTGCTTCCCAGCAAGTAAAGGCCTGGAGATATTTCTGAATAATTAAAAAAATAAATCATGTCTAACACTACTTAAACATGATATAATTTAGTGTCACATCTGTGTACACATTGTGTTGTTTTATCGAAAAACAACTGTCGGGTACTTGCGTACCTTTTTGACTAATTAGACTTCTTGCTTAGAAAATATTGGGCTTGGACAAGAAATGTACAAACCTAAGATTGCTGCATGAAGATTTATAAAATCAGTTTATACATGTACATGCAGCAATATTATCCTTTTAAAGCACCACTGACACTTCACTATTTGTTTTACCATTCTATCTTTTTATTTACTCTTGCTGTTTGTTTTTTTTTTAATATATCTGGCTCTTCTTATCTTTCTTTCTGATAGCTGATGGCAGGCTGAACGCCGGTCATGCTGGTGTGTTGCTGGCTGAGAGACGAGGTTCTTACCCGCCGATTGATCTGCGGATCCTGAAAAGTACGATTCCTCATTGACTCAAATATTTTATGTTGACGTCCATGAGGCCATGGTTTAAACTGTCCACTGTTTAAGTATTGATCATTTTATAGATAGATGAAGGACATTATGATGCATCAATGAAGATGGTTTGACTTTTACAATTTTTTTTAAATGCATGTTTTTTTTTTGTTGTTGTTGTTTTTGTTTTTTTTTAATTAGCAAATTCACAGCCAGGGGAGGTCGAGTCCGGCACTAGGAGAAAGCTGAAGCGTCTGTTAAGCTTCCAGAGATACTGCCATGCCTCCAGGTTGCTGAGGGGATTAATGCCTCACACTCCCGGGTCCCTGCACTTGCTGGATGATGACTACTTGGGACAGGCAGCTGTGAGGGCACAAAAACGCAACACCACGCAAACGAAGACGCGCATACAATTTTTTTTTAAGATCGTTTGCGAATAACAAATCAACCCTTGTAAATGTCTTTCTTCACAGCACATGCTCTCAAAAGTAGACACATGGAACTTTGACATTTTCCTCTTCGATCGTCTTACAAATGGTGAGATTATTTTAGTCTGACATGACTGCTCGTCCGTCAGTTTAACAATGTCCTAGATCTATATTCTGTTATGTATTTTATCATGATCCCAGTCTATATGCCTTTTTTATGTTTGGGGATGATTATGTTTGTATAGTCTGATGGATTGGAAGACACAATCATTGTTTACAATTTATCTGTGCAGGTAACAGTCTTGTGACTCTGATGTGCCATCTCTTCAATGTTTGTGGACTGATTCACCACTTCCAGCTGGACATGGTTAAACTACACAGGTTTCTTGGTAAGCTATTAGAAATTTGTTTGCTCTTCCACCAATGACAGCTAAAATAATGTCTTTATCTTTTCAACTTCCTGGTTTACACTAGTCGGCGTTTGAATTGGCATCACTGTCAGTTGACAGCTTTAAAACCGTTTTTAAAGAGTCTCATTCACAGTGAGGCTGTATTTATAGCACATTTAAATAGCTGGCCAAAGTGCTTCACTAAATATAAAAGCAACCAAAATGTATTCAGTAAAAATATTGATTACAACAACCAATAAAACATAACCAGATAAATAACAATTATAATTAGTAAAAATAATTGTGATAAATAATCCAGAAGTGGAGCCGTAAATGTCTAAAAGAAAAAAGACTTATGACCAAATTCTTACTTTTTTTGTTTTGTTTAGTTTTACTGAACCATTTTGGCAATAATGTAACCCTTATAAAATTCTCTGAAAGAGTTGCTATATTTTTGGTGTTTTTAGTGTGGGTATGTTTTTTTTTTTTTTTTTAATACCAAACACTTCACCTATTTCCCAATATAATTCTATGAGACCAACGCCTGCATTGTACCTCATATGTTTCAACTAACCAGAATAAACACAGAGACCTTGTAGATTCGTTTTATTACAATCGGTGCTTATTGATCATTTACAATGTTTTGCAGGAATGGTGCAGGAAGATTACCATTCCCACAATCCATATCATAATGCTGTTCATGCTGCTGACGTTACTCAAGCCATGTACTGCTACATAAAAGAGACCAAGGTGAAAACATACACACACTCTTTTCCTGTCATGCCCACACTGTAAAGCCTCACCAGGCCTGAGCTTCTCCTTGACATAATCTATTAGCTGTGCTCCCAGAGGGACGTCTCCCGCTCACTTGAACTCAGTGACACATCCATCTAGAGCTCAGAGATTTTTCTGAAGCCCTCTGACTAGATTAAGCATCTCTGCATCTTTCCCCTTATTCAGTAATTGCTTTTGTTGCTCCAAGAGGCACTTTGTGATTAATCTGTTTTGTTAAAAGCACTAAATGAAATTCAATACGGCACGCTAACCTGTATGTTGAAGATAAACACTCTCTGAGAAAAAGCGAGTCTGCATTTTCACTAATCAATGTGCTCTATTGCCCTCTATAGCATAATGAGGCTGGATCTTTGGCCACCTGTAACGACGTCAGTTTTGTGTTTTTGAGATCAATTTGGATGTAAACCAAATTTGGAGATGTAGATAAGACATGACTAAAAATCCCATTTCTCTTAGCCATTTCTCAAAATGGGAAATCTAAGAAAATTGGACATTGAACCGTAGGCAGGTGTGTGTTGATTTCCACTTGTCAAGAAACAGACACAACAGGATTGCTTCTAACCTAAACTCACCCAAATGTAAAGTCAGAGCAATTATGAAAAACTGTTACTGTAACCGTGACAAACAAGGTGGGACAAGGGCCCAATCTAATCTTGCTTCCTAATTGTAAAAAAAAAAAAATCTTATTTGTAGTATCCTTCAAATTTGGCATGTTTTGTTTAAAGGTTTTGCTCACATACTTTGGGTTATTTGACAACTTAAATAAACTTCACATTAACCAGAAATCGAACGTTTGACAAAATAGACACAAAAAAAAAATTTAGATTATCAACGACTCCTCATTTAGGTTTTTCACAAGGATCTCTCTTGGAGATTCTTAGAACATTTGTGTTTTGCAGCTGGCAGAGCAGCTGACTCCTCTGGATGTGTTCCTGGGTCTGATGGCGGCAGCAGCTCATGACGTGGATCACCCTGGAGTCAACCAGCCTTTTCTCATTAAAACCAGACACCACCTGGCATCCCTCTACCAGGTAAACACAAGCAGGTGGATGGGTGTCAGCATCTGGGTTTACCTGTGGTGTGTTTCGTGTCGGAGGCGCGGAGACTGAATGACATTCCTGCTGTACAGAACACCTCTGTGCTGGAGAGCCACCACTGGAGATCCACCGTGGGCATGCTGCGAGAGTCTGGTCTGCTGAGCCACCTGCCGGCCGACATGTCGTAAGAACACACGTCTTACATCGTCTGATTTTTAATCGGAATATTTTATTGATTTGGTTTTAGAAATGTTCTTTAAGGTTTCCGATTACTCGTTAATGTTTGGAATATATTACTGTTTTGCACATTGCAAATCTATTTTCAACAAACACAGTACACTAAAAACCTTGGACACCCATGAAGTTAAGATGATCCCTTTTGGGGAGTTTTAGTGTGAGGGAGTATTTTTTCCTCTTACTAAGTATGTGATAAGTATTTAATCTCTTTCACTGAAATAACACACTAAATTTAAAGGTTGGATTTTTCTTATTATTTTCTTTGTTGCTGTTGGTTTTCTTTTCATATAAATACGTTTAACATGAAATTAGAACTCAATGGAAATTCCCACTGGATAAAGTAATAAAAGTGTATCATGTGTCTTTACTTTTAGTCTTCACATGAATGAAAAAATAAGATCATTTAGCTGTTAAAGGTTGTGTGAAACTTGTAGCGGGTGAAGCAGAGCTCATTGGTTTGTCTTCCTTCACGCTACAGGCAGGACATAGAGCAGCAGCTGGGCTCTCTCATCTTGGCCACAGACATCAACAGACAAAACGAATTCCTGATAACTCTCCGAGAGCATCTGGACAACCAGGATATGGACCTTCAGCTGGCCACACACAGGCATTTCATACTCCAGGTACACTGCCCGTTCCCTTTCAAATGTACTGTTGAAACGAGATATTTACAGATAAAAAGACACGTCAGACACTCTTCAAGTAATGTCAAGCATGTAGATTCAGCTGTATGGTATCCAAATGATAATTTTCTCACACAGCTTTATAATAGTAGACCTCCATATCGTTGTGACACGTTTGTATTCATTTCTCTTCTTTTCTTCTAGATTGCCCTGAAATGCGCTGATGTGTGTAACCCATGTCGGGAGTGGGAGCTGAGCAGGCAGTGGAGTGAGAGGGTGTGTGAGGAATTTTATAGGCAGGGTGAGTAAACTTTTACATATCAGTTTTCAAACTAGAGTTAGTATTATGGTGTGCTGAAGAAGATGTGTATTTTAAAATGCCAACTCTATGCACTTTATTTCACTGTTTGTTCTTGTTGCAACTGTTTTTGTTTTTTTTGTTTTTTGTTTTTTTTTATCAATTCTGTCTTTGTTGACCTGGAAGGTGACCTGGAAAGGAAATTTGACTTGGAGATCAGTCCTTTGTGTGACCAACAGACAGACTCTGTGCCAGCCATCCAGATTGGTAAATCCTGTTTTAATTATCAAGGCGTTCTCATTAAATAGCCCGTATTAAGGAGTTTCACATCTTTCAGGTTTTATCTCCTACATCGTGGAGCCTCTGTTTGAGGAGTGGCAGCGCTTCACTGAGCCCAGCATGCTCAGCCAAATAATGATGGGGCACCTGCACAAGAACAAGGCTTGCTGGAGCCGACTCAGATACGTACACACACTTGCAGAAACAAAAACTCACCCCCATGCCGAAGAGCCTGAGCCTGAAGGAGGACAAGAGGAGGCAGAGGACATCCCATAATATCTCTCTTGTTGCTCTGATGGGTTTTAATCTCCAGCATACATGGAGGGGAGACGTTTTAATCCAAATCCATGTTTATTCTCCAGCACGTTTGTTTCCACAGCTGGTTGCCCTTACAGTGGGAGCACTGGAAGGCAGCGTGGCCAGGAAACAAAGAAGTATAGCTCCCCCTGGTGGAGCAGTGGTTGAATGTAGCATTGCAGGAGAAAAAGAAATGGAAGTGGATTCACTGAGGAGCAGAATGATCTTAGTAAGAAAATCAAATGTGGACATGCTTTTGTTTGTAACTTTGCGCTCAAATAGGACTAAAAGGTTAACTAGTTAACATGTGTTAACTGAGGGTTCACATGTGGATTTTAACATGGGTTTAGTTGGCGTAATAGTGATAAGAACAATAAAAATTAGAGACATATAAAAACCAGCTGGACTTTGCTGAAAAAATATATGACAGAATAACAATCTCCTCACATCCTTCATTGTTTTTAAAATTTAAAAATGCTTGCACTCTTGTACAATGTTTTTTCATGTCTTTATCTCACTTGTCTACCTTTCACTGAAGTGCGTTTTTAACTCTAAGCTTTGAGTCGTTATGTCGAGGTACTGTACACATTAGCATCCAGCATGTTCTCGGTGTCAGACTGACTCAGATCATCATTTAAATAATGACTCACACTAAAAGTGGCTTAGGTCAGTGTTGCCGGCTTGATGTTTCATTGTTGAGCTGAATCACCAACTTGAAGAGCCAAATACAAAAAAAAAAAAAAGGTTTATCTTCATATTATAAGTTGTATAAACTGTATATACTGTGATGGATAACCTGAACACTTCACATGCCAAAACATTTTTATCTCTGTACTCTGTAAGTCACTTGAAAATGTAACTCTTCTCACTTTTCTCTAAAAGCCAACTGGATTTAATCACAGCCTCACTTTACAAGCTCATACACAACAAAGCCTTAACAGCCGCTTGGTCTGTCAGTTAAAAAAAAAAAAAAAATTAATAGGGTTTTCTGAACAATATGTTTCATATTAAAATTTCTGCCTCTTGTTCTTCAGCCATATCAGCACTGAAACACAGACTCAGTACTGTAGCATCTTGTTCCTGGTTGTTTTTTCACTCAGTATCAGGGTCAGATTTGGCGTCTCAGAACTGTGAAGTATTGCCAAGGTGTTGGTGTACTTTTATAACACGTTAGCTCTGCTATGTAAGGCTTTTGTTCTAACAATGCTTCCATCTTCTTACACAGGTCCTGTGTGCTGTATTTCTTAGGTTGATTAAGAAACACTGATGTCTTTACTTAAAATACACATTAGCTGGGGATGTACTGATTTAGATTTTGTGTCCAAATTCCAATTTTTGTGTTTGTATAGCTCTGACATAGCCGGTGCTGTAGACCATTCTGCTTTTAGCTAGTTTCCATTTCTCATTTAATTAGAATGTAAAAGTATTCTAAATATGTTCTTAGCCTTCTACCTTGTGTAAAAAGCACGGGTTGCTGTTAAACAGGGTTTACATTTATTTTAGTGCAAAAAGAAAATTATTATAGAGTTCATATTTTAAGCTGTCTTTAGCATCCTATATTAGCAGCTAGAATAGTTATTATTCATAGCTATGAAAGGCCTAGAGCAGTGCTTCTCAAACTTTAACTCCTCAGTAAATGTTATGTTTTCCAAGTACCTCCATCTTTATCTACATTTTAAAACTGTATTACTACAGTAGTTGGACTTTTTAAGTTTGTTGTGTTAAATCATCAAAACAAAAAGGATTAATCAGCTAGCTCTGGTAAATAATACAATGCAAAACAGGCAAAATTTCCAAGCTTTATGCTTGGAGAAAATTAACAAAAATGCCAGATTCCCAGAATCCACCGTATCGTAACACCATATTTATTGCAACAACATTAAAGGCCTTTCACTAGCTCCACCGTCTACATTAAGTAGTGCTGCTAAACAGCATGGAAGAATCATAATAATTAATATTTTAAAATACTGATATTCGTTAGTTTAAGAATAGCAATCCCTGTCATGTTGGGATTGGGTTGGGAGTGTTTGCAGACGGCACCAGTTCATAAATCACATTTCATACTGCAATATTTCCCCCCCCCCATTAACAATAAATTATAATAGGCTGGAACTGGAATATGTCTCAGTTGGTTTCCCAGATTTACATCTTGACTCCAGAGGTACTTTTACTCCAGTTTGAGAACCATTGCTCTAGAGAACAATGTAGCCCATTATTTGCACTCTGATATTTACAAAGGGCTGCCAACATTTCCAAGTTAAGCATGTTCAACTTTGTTGTAATATCTTCTTCCCTTCTGCCCAAACAATCCCTGTTTGCGGACTTCTCCTTACAGAAAACAAAAAAAAAACATTTTTTTAATGCTTCCTACGCCTCTTGTGCTTTCTCTGACATTGTTTGGGACGTCTCAGTGTTACTGTACATAGCTAACTATCACTCTTTTTTAATAAGTAACATATCCCACACCAAAGTGTGAATCCAAACACAATAGCATTTATGCTGTGTTCTTATTCCATTTAAACTCCAAAGTCAGATTTTCCAAGGTCCCGATTGGAAATACAACAAAAGCACCACCTGAAATTTGAATTCCAACTTGGAAAATCAGAGATCTCTTTAAAGTGATTGAGCTAAAAAAAAAATCAAATAAGGCTCTTTTCCATTAAAAAAACATAGTTAAAGTTGTTGGGACACGCAATTTTTAGTACTTTTTAGTATCTAACATCACTCGCTAATATGAGTCGTATATTAGTGATATACATAGAAATGTGTAACCTCTATTTGTAAACTTATTACCTTTAATGTCTGAAAGCATAAAAAGATGAGAAATGTGTTATCGGAAAGTACTGCTTCTAGTAGTTGGCTCTGCAAAGCAAATTTGCAAATCCAACTGGTTTTCAGACATGCAGCTAAAATATCCAAGTCCAGTTAGACATTATTTCGCCATCTTATTTCAAACCTATGGGATAAATCAAACGGCAACAGCTTTGGTCTGTTCACTGACTGGGAAGCTATCAGACTGTTGAGTTTCCAGAAGTCTATCACTGTTCAAGCTAAATATCATCTAGATCTGGTCACTGGCCAATTCCTATGTGCAACTGTATTTATTTGCTTCACTTAATGTTAAAGTATATGCTGCCTGTTACTATAAACATTGGCTAAAAAGATATTTATGGGCAATATATGTGTAACGTCCATGGATGCACTGAGCCACGTGACGATGAGGCTTTTGACAGCAGGTATTTGTAAATACAAGTATAGAATATATGTACGTTTGCCTCCCTACTTTAAATATTGTATACCAGAGGTTGTTGAATTTAAGATTTGTTGCCAGCAGAATATGGTATAAAATGACGAGCTTGACGAGAAAGGCTTGGTTAAAGTTATACAAGCTGCAATATCTGCCCCAGTTAAGAGGTGCAGTGCAATAACGTTAAACTCCTGTGTACAGTTCTGGCTTGTATGCTTATGTCGGTTATATAACTATATATGTCTTTACAGTGGCACTCTGCTTGCTGTGCTAAGATTTCCACTTTGTTCGAGCGGCACTGGTGCAACCGGGGGAAGCACACAGACAAAAAGGCTTCTGTAAACACTCGACGGGGTTAAGTTGATCAAAGAGCACAGTTGGCTCTTTGAGCAGCAGAAAGTGACCCGAAAGACACTCTTTCAGTCCTGTTTTGATTTTTTTTTTTTTTTTTACAGCTTCCAAACCCGAAAGCAGCTATGAGCCGGGAACAAAGTGACACATCGGTTTCTGAATACGCTACCTAGCAAGTGCTCCAGATTATTCGCTATGAGTCATATATTTACTGTCAGTGCAGACCTGGTCCAGGCAACAAGCATCAGGCTGCCTTGTTTTTGAATACCTCTCAGAATGAACACTGTTACAGGGTAACTGAGCCATACTGGTTTTATTCAGCAGGACTAATATCTTCTGTGTGTTTACATACAGGAATAATATCAGCTTTACTAAAATCAGCATCTTAGTGTATACCAGTAAAATGTGCAAGTTTAGTGTGAAGCTGCAACAAATTTGTAATTTGGTGCCATGAGATATTCAGACACATTTATTTCTGTTAAGTTCTTGTATTTCACTCTCTTCAAAAAAAAAAGAGGCTTTGCAAAAGTATCCATATATCCTAAACTTAAACATAGTGCAATTCTACAGCTACTAACTGTAATATACTTAATTGGAGTTTTTTTTTTAAATCAAGACAAACCTCAAAATGATTGTGAATGAGGTAAAAACGAAATGTTTTCTTTAATGCTTTTTTTTTTTTTTTTTTTTACAAATACAGATTTAAAAACTGTGGTGTGCATTTGTATTTGGCCCCATCAGCCAATATTTTTATAAACAGAAATGTATCTCGTTATTAGCCTTGTGAGGTATCTCTGGACTAGCTGTGCACAACTGGAGACTGAAATGCTTGCTCACTATTTGGCAAAATAGCTCAAGTTCAGATTCCACGAGCATTATTTCCAAGCCCATCTATAAGTTCTTAACTGGACTTGGGATTTAAGACTTTGACTAGGTCATTTTAACACCTGGAAGTGCTTCGATTTAAGCCGTTCCATTGTAGCTCTGGTTGCATGTTTATGATGATTATCGTCGTGAAATAGGAGCACAGTCACATGCCGATCACAAGTTTTCTTCCAGGATTGCAGTGTATTTATCTCAATTCAGCTTCTCATCAGCCCTGACTAGTTTCCCTGTGGTTGCTGAAGCTTTTCCCACAAAATCATGCTGTCCCCACCATAGGGACGGTGTGTGCAGAGGTATTTGCAGTGTTTAGTTAAATATCTAATTTGGTCTTATCTAACCAGAGCACCTTCTTCCATATTTATGCTGTCTCCCCCACGGTGTTCAGCAGACTTCAAACAGGAAGTTGTGCTTTCAACAGTGGCCTTCTGCTTCCCACTCTTTAGCATTAGGTAGGTGTCCTCTCAAGGCCAAATGGTTGCACTGGATTATCTCTAAGGGTATCAGATTTAAGGGGGCTGATTATAATTGCACACCTTTTTTTTTGTCTGTTTTGTCTAAAATAATGTTAAAACCCATAGTTTCCCTTCCACTTCAGTTTTATTCACTACTCTTTCTTGACCAGTCACATAGAATCCCAATAGAATACATTGAAATTTGTGGTTGCAATGTGACAAAATGCAAAATTCAATGGGTGTGGATACTGTTGCAAGGCACTGTGCATTTTATACACTGTTCATTTCTAAGATTTTGACCTAATGCTTTAAAATAATGCAATTCAGAGTTTGATTTTCTTCAATTTTTTTGGACTGTTTTCATGTTAAAAATATACAAAGTTTTAAACGTTTTTTATAAACCTTGGGATATCTGCAGTAGAAGGACATTGATCGGTTTCATTTTTTTAGGATTTCAAGCGTCTACTTTCTGGACTAACATTTTGTGCAGCGTGTAATCTTTCAATAGAAGCCCTTTGTGTCAAAAATGACTGTAAAAATATGTCAGGATGACTCACCTGATGTCTCTGTATACATTTGGGCACTGTGAATAAAACAATAAAGTTTTTTTTTTTGTTTTTGAGGTAATTAAGATTTGTATGGACTCGTTTGTGTTTACCACCAAAAGTTTTATTAAAAGGAGGAAGTTGCTAAATTCAAATGACCACTAGATGGCAACAAAGCAATACTGGTGACTGTGTAAGAGGCCGACGCAAAAGGGAGACCCACCATCCCTTACGGGAAGGGGGCAGAGGCGGGTGCTCTCCACAGGGCCGTGTTTACAGTATAAATAATAGTTAGGTCACCTATGAATCAAAGTGATGATTTCTCTGATGTAACCGTAGTAGCTTGGGGCTGTAAAGTTTATGTGTCAACAAGAAACTTTGGAGGCAAAGTTGTGATCGGTTGTAGTTTACAGGCCAAACAACAAAGAGGATGAGGATGAATGAGTCACAGTGTTGACTCTAGAAATTAAGATGCTCTCTAACCGCTAATATAAACTGAACTTCTCTTGTAAAACCTTCAGAAAAACATAAGTGCCTTTTAAATAAAGAGCAAGAGTTAAACCTGCTTTCTTTTCTCTCTTTTTTTTATACACAAGCAAAAGAATGTAGGGTGGTGTTCTGTGCAGATAAGTGCTGCAGCCAGCCTGTGTTTCCCTCATTTGCATGCTGTTGATTTGCAATGCAAATCAGGCTTGTAGATTGTGTAAGATGTGGGGTCCGCTAATAAATCACATTACACAGTGGTGGCTGACTTTTCTAAACTTTATCTTGTTCAGAGTTTCAACCATGAGCCTGTATTAGATGCGGCAACAAGACTTTCTCTGTTCTCCGGGACTTTTTTTATTTTTTTTATTTTATTGTATCACTCATGACAAGAGACAAACAGTTTCTTGCAACCCCAAGGACTTTAGGCAATATAACTTACACTTTTTATTGATTTTAAGATACCAAAGTTATGATTATGACCTTAGTTGTCTCACTGGGTCATCAGGTGTCTATTCATGCTCCGTGTTCCACTACCCCCTCTCCCACCCCCTCAACCACACACACAAACACACGCCCATACAATTTAAGTAGAGTCAGTCAGCATTCATCCAGCATGTGTCACTATAAATATTGACAGTGCAAACAAAGCCCCCTCTTTAGCCCCTTGAATTACACTCATTTAAACGCTCCCTTGGTAAAAACACGCGCGCTATCAGACCACTGCACAGATAAACATCAACCTCCGAATGTAACCCTGCCATCATCTATAGCTGCGAGACAGTGCGTGGGATTCACACCCGACTTTATAGATGTACATTTTTTAACCTAAAAAAAAAAAGAAAGAAATGTCAACTGTAATCTGTCTTGGCCCTGCAGCTCACAGATAAAGAGGGCCGTGTGCAGAAAGTGAAAAATGAAACTTGTGGCATTGATGTAGAGCTTCTTTCTCAGTTCGCATGTCTGGCTTCTGCGCTGTGCACCGAAAGGGTTAATCTCCTCTTGTTAGTCAGCATCCTCTTTTCTGTATTTTTTGTTTTGCCCATTGTCTGGCACTTAATCTCCTGCTTTGAATAACTAAGATTTAGTGGGATCTTAATTCAGTTATCAACACCATGGCAACAGCTGTTAGAACAGTGTTTGCTCATCTGCCAGTAGCTCTTAGTTTAACAGAAATAAAAATAAAAAAAATTACAGAATGGGATAAAGTTTCCACTTCGAATTTCCCTCAAGCACAGCCTCTAAGATGCCACATATCAATTTGTGGACCAGATTAATGAGCCTGTGTTCCCCAAACCAACTTCATGTAACTCTTATGAGCTCTATTGTTGAGCTTTCTGTTTGCCTGAATATCCCTCACAGCCCATCAAAACTGTGGAAATATTTCAGCTCTGGACAAATTGTTGTGCACTAGAGCCACCATTTATTTCTTCTATGAAAATGTGTCCATGCCATTTCCCAGACAAAAAGCCGCCAAAGAAAGAAACTAATCTAATTTCTAAATTCAACATCTTGTCAGAGAGAGGCCAAGACCCACTTGTCACTGTCATAGCAGTTTAGGCAAAGGCTGTATTATGAGCCTTTACGACCTTTAATGACATAATTTGCATGGTGTGAAAATTTACACAGGAAACATAAGTAGAAGTTAGTGCACCACCAATGACCTTCCTGTGTGGCAGACATACTACTGAGTACACAGCATGTAGAGTGGTGTTAAAAAAAAAAAAAAGAAAAATGTTTATTTAAATTGTTAATTTAAACGAAGCGTGTTTAATACATTTTTGCACTGCGTTGGTTTTAAGAAAACACCTCTCGTTCTGTTCTCGGTACATGTTTCAAACAGGAAGACCATTGGTGGCGCACAGCTCCCTACCTCAATTTCCTTTTTAAATATTTGTCAGTTTGTGCATAAATAGTCAAGTATAATTTGAAACAATCTTTTGTGGATTTGTCCAATGCTTTTAATCAAATTCAGAAGTTTACGTACACTAAGATTGCTATATCTTTAAACAATTTGGGAAGTCGGCGATGATGATAACGACATGGCTTTGTGAGATTCTGACATGTTAGCAGACAACATCAGAGTTAAATGTTCCAGTTTGTAAATGCACTGTCGTACAAACAATTTAAGTGAGTGGCAATAATGACTATTGTAAAATTCTGAGGGAAAAGGGACATCAGCTCAATGCCGAAGCTGGGAAAGTAAAGCTTGTGGACAACAAAGTCCACAATGTTTTTCTGTGGCCTTTACAAATCGGTGATCAATTTATGGAACCAGCTAAAAAGTCTGTGTGCACAAGCCTGACTCCCTTACACCAGTTCTGTCAAGTTTCGGCAAATCTCTGTAAACTTCTTCTTAACTTTAACATTTGCTATGACAAAAAAAAAAAAAAAAAGTAAGAAAAATATTCACTCTTGTTATTTTGTCATGAAGGACATGGAAATAATTCTGGTAATCCTGACTGACTCAAATCAGGAAAAACACAGTCATATTTACTCTTAGCCAAATCTTTTTATAAAGTGTATGTAAATATCTGGTTTGACGGGGAGGAAGAGCGCATAAAACATAAAATGGCAGAAGCTAATGCTAATCTTGGAGCTGCGTATGTGATTCATGCTCACATTAACTAAAGCATGCTCTCATCCTGATTGCTTCTTAAACAGCATCTCTTCGTTTTGAGCATCTTTGCAGAAGGTGGTTTCCATGCAGCACATTGGTCGCGTCATCAAACGACTAAAGTGAACGCTTAGGGGGAGGAAAGGGTTAATTTCTCATGCAGTAAGATCTTCAACATCAACACCCACACATCAAGAGTACAAGTTCACATTATGTACATATCTACATATCTTTATATATATGAATATTATTAATCTGTTAAAGCGATTCCAGTAAAACAAAGGGGGGTGGGGAGGATATTTTGTGGCCCTAAAGTGATGTTTTTTTTTTTGTTTTTTTGTTTTTTTGTTGCTCCTTATGGGATGATAAACAACATCGAAGAGACACACCTGCCAGAGTTCACCTGTTCCCCTTCAGTGTGTGGGACTCATGGCCGGCAGAGTGCTCTATACGTCTCATGCAACCGCAGTTATTTTTGTTTTAACTTGGTGCAAGCACATGCTTACTGACAGATTTGTTGACTGCCTTTGACAATTTGCATCTTCCAAAATATGTGCAAGACTTTGTGGGCAGATGAGAGCAAGATAGATGGCACATATTGACCTTTGTTTGGTAAATGAACACCTAACACAGGTCTTGCTTTCTTTTCTCTTTTTTTGTCACTGAAGCTGCTGCTGAAGTCTGTACACAGTGAAAGTTTCTTTCTGATTTGTGTTACAAACAAAAACAAAACCAAAAAAAACCTGTAATGGTTTAGGTAGGATGTTTATGGTTTCCTGTCGATTTCTGACGAGTTCTGATCAGATCTATGCCATGGTTTGAACTTTGGACCTTTGCAGTATAGCCTGCAACTACACCAAGGAGTCCTTAGGTGCACCTTTTGCAATCACTTGTTCATTTTGTTTAATACTAAAAGTAAATACCTTCAAAAAGCTAATTGGAAAAGTGGTCCTACTAGTGAGCTCAAACAGTATGTTCTTTTGTTATTTCAAGTTTATTTCTGCAGAAACAAACATTGTTTTGGACTTCTCTTTAGTGTTTTTCCATTTCTAATCAGTATTCCCTCCCTGGTTCACTGAGGAAACAGGAGTAGCTTCCTGTAAATCGTGTGCTCTCTTGTTGTATCAAGTGCAGCTCAACCTGCTTGGCCTGTTCCTCCAGCTCGGCATCATTAGTCAGAAACCATATTGCTATCACCATTACAGGGATTCAGTCATACTGTTGCTCCTGTAAACACACGTTTTAGGTGTAGACTTATCCATCTGTGACGGTGTTTATTTTGTCTAGATTTGGGGGGAAGGGAGGGGGGCATGTGTAATGTTTGTTTGTGGTTTGCACGGCAGGGTTTTATGGTGGGATTCCTTTTTTTTTTTTTTTTTGCGGTTTGTGAACCTCTAACACATCACCTAAAAACATTTTTTAAAAAACTCATTTTTTTCAGGTCACTCTATAGATGCTATGTGTTCTAGGAGACAGTTGTTTGCAAAAAGTAATGAATAT